GTACCACTTAAGACCCACCCGCAGGCCCACACGGCTGCCAGCATCAACCTGATTTACCAACTACATGCAGGGCCTTGATGGGGGGGAATCTGCCACAGAGCCAGCTGCAGGCTTTTTGTGCTGGCATCGTACACCTCAAAGGTGTAGACTCCGCCCATCACTGTACTGCTGCGGCTTCCCCATGTCCACTCATGGAGCCCGCTGGGCACCTTAAGAGAGGTCAGTGGGATGTGCCTTTGCTAATTCCGATCACCTTGTGAACCCAAAGGGGGTTCTTCTGATGGCATCATTGCACCCTACCATAGTGAACACCTCAGTTCCCACAGTGATTTCCATAAGGTTGTGCCTCAGATGGGCACCCTTTAGTAGGCCAGGCTTCCATAGCCCTTCTACTCGACCTTGTGATCAGACCATTGTCACTGCCCACAAATCATTAAAAACCCAGCGTATGAATTTTATCAGTGTTCACTTCTTATGTCCTTGGATCAAAGTGGTGGCCTCCAAACAAGTTGTCCATTCACCTAGGAACTTCCCTCCAAATGCTCAGCACCCCTTGGTCGATCAGTTGAGGGGTGTTTATCGGGCACTGTCCAAGCGGTGACAGAAGGCAGCATCCCTTCACATGGTTCCAAATGAAGCCCCAGCGGGGAAGAGGCTCCCCTCTGTGAGTATCCTGCGTGCATTCCCAGTAGCATGAACCTGTACAATTTCCATTTTCTTATGGAACTCCTTTGGGCACCGCCCTTGCTAGTAGAGTGTTTGTCTGATACCAATCAAGACCCTGTAGGGGTGGAGATTTTTCTCTCTTTTAGGTTTAGCCTGGGGTGGAGCCTATGAATGAAACTATCAACAGACTGAACAGGAGAAAAGGCACACAGAATTATTCATTAAAATTTCCATAATGGGCAACACAGAAAGAAACACTCAGGGGAGATGCTATGGCCTGAGCATGGTTTGTCGTCACATAGTTTATGTGTAGAAGCTTGGTCTCCAGTGTTGTGGTGGGGAACCTTTAAGAAGTGATGGTCTGGAGATTCCAACATGATCAGTTAGAGACAGGGGTGCAGAAGATACTCCAAAAAGAGTCATGGGAAAATTCAGGTCTTCAGAAAGCGGGGAGGCAGTCACACCCAGAAGTGGAACACCACTCTGAAAGATAAATCCTACGGCACAAACCAAATATCTGGATTGCTGAAAAAGGGAAGTGAAAACACCGCTTGTCCCCAAGCCCTTCCCCGGGAACATGCCATCTTAGCGGCGATTCTAACAGCCCGAGGAAGGGGGGCAATGCTGCCATGGCCGGACTCTCCTGGGACACTCTCTACATGTGACTCTTCCGCCCACCTGGAAGAGGAAACCAAGCACGGGAGTAAACTGTGGTTGGGATCCCAGGGAACCCAGGAATGGCAGCCAGAGAAAAGAGACAGCAACGTGGGAGCGGGCAGACCCTCTCCCCAAGCGCCAGGGAGCACTGCCCAGGTGGCATCGGACCCACGGACCACCACCTAGCATTGACAAGGGCCTAGGCAGAGAGAGGCTGGGTACCACGAGCTGTGGGCAGTGGGGACCAATAGACCGCCTCTTGGAGACGCAGGGGAAGAGCACAGTCTCAGTGGAGCTGGTCTGAGTACACATTTTCTATCATTTCCCCAGAAGCCAAAAATACACGAGACAGTGGGACATCATAACCAATGCCCGCCACCCTGTGTGGGCCAAGGTGCCTGTCGGATGGGCCGGGACACCGCCAAGCTCTGCAGGTCGGAAAGTGGAGCTTTTGAGTCAGGGACGGTTGGGGATCTGAGCCTGAAGAAATAGAAGGTTTGGCTGGAGCAGAGAACCTCTGGTGATACACTGGGAAGCCCTGGGGGGGAGAACAGGAGATGCACGCAGGATTTGTCCTGCAGCGAGCAGGGGAGTAGATCACTGGCGGAAGCTGTTGGATAGCCAGGTGGCCCAGCAAACTATTTCACATCTTCCTTCCAAATGGATTGAACTTGTTGGATTTTGGCACAGAGACAAAGGTCTGCAGTAAGGCATGCCTAATACACGGCTTGCAGCCGGGAAGTAGGGCCAGAGAAACCTACCGCTCCCAGGTGGGCAGCTACGCAGCCTGCAGGCAGCGGGGAGATTGGCCTGGCTACCTGCAAGCGGACTAGACAGCAGCGGCAGGGGAAGCGTGTGGATACTTTGGCTGTGTGGAATGGTAACCCTGTGGGGCTTGGGGACGGTGTTCTGCTTGTGTGTCTGCTTTTAGTTCTCTCTGGCTTTCTATTTTTCTCCTTTCTTCAAGTCTTGCTTCTGTATCAATATTATTTTTCAAAGCTTTTTTGTTTTTCTTAGTTTTCAAGTTTATTCCTCTTTGCTACGCTCTCCGTCTTTTCTTTTTTTCTTTCTGTTTAACCTTTCTCCCTCCCTATTCCACGACCTTCACTCTCCCTCACTGTATCTGCTGCCCTCTCTTCCCTGGCTTCTGCTCTACCTCCTGCCTGACGTATTCGTAGTAGGTACCTGTAAACGTAAAAAGAGAATAAGAACAGCCCAGCACTTGAACTTGAATGGTACCATTCACGGTCATCGTGGGGTAAACCTTAACGGGACTGTGCCTACAGGACTCGAACGAAACTAACGACAAGCATCTTAACAGGTTCCGACAGTCCCGCAGCACCCCTCAATCCCTGCTGACAGCTCCTGTCCACTCCATCCTTTCCCCCACCTCCACAAATATTCTCTAAACCCCCTCAACACTAACCCTTTTCTCCATTTATAAAATACCTCCAACAGAGTCTGGCCTTCTATTGATTTTTAACCTATTAATATTTATCCCCCCCCTTCCTGGCCCACCCTCACCCCCCTGCCCTTCCCATCCCCCTGCCTGCCATCACAAGCTGCCCATAGCAGGACAGCGCCGCTGCCCGAGGGAGGGACCGGCACTTCCGAGGCGCCCCGGCTGATGGAGGAGGTTCCTACTCACTCTGCTCCCCACCAGGGAAAGGAGAGCTGAAAACGAGATATTCACAAATCAGGGCTCCAGAGAAACGCAAAGCCGGAGTGTCCTCTATGAGAGGACATGGGCAGGCCCTGAAGAATTTGAAAACAAGCAGACCGCTCTGATTAGGGACCCAGACCTGAATGTGGGGAGGGAAACGGGGGTCTATGTGAGCAGGCAGTGTCTGGGAGCCGTGGGGACCCTGGGTAAGAAGAGGCCAGACTGACCCAGCAGTAATTCCTCGCCCAACCCCTCCCTGTCTGCCAGGAGCGCCGTGCTTACGGGACACCTGTACACGGCCTCCCCCTGCTGGCAGCGCCCGCGAGGGAGCCCTCGACAACCCGGCCCAGGGACTGCCGAGGGCAGGGGGCCCTGAGGCTTCACCAAGTTCACGGGGCAGAGTGATGCTCTCAGAAGAGGGACTGAGAAAGTGCGGCCGGCAGCGGGACAAAGAGTGGTGCCGGGGAGGAGGGCACCCGGCAACGCGCTGAGCGCAGGGCTCGTGGAGGGGAAACAAGCAACTGTGGGATTTGCCTTATAGGGAAAGGAGTGGGGTGACAGGGTCTTGGCAGAAATGGAGGAGGAACCGGGTGTTGGACTAATTGCACCACATTCCTCCCTCCCGAAATTAATTGAGGCGGTCAGATCTTGGGACAGATACAAAGGCCTACAGTTAGTCATGCCCAGAGCACTGCTCGCAGATGAGAGGTTGGCCCAGAGACCTCTGGATGTGCAGGCTTGTACGCCCGAAGGCAGACAATTAAGGGAACCCCGGCCACGGGGGGTGGGGTGGGGGCAGCTCAGAGACCTGCAGTTGAACTCACTGCAGCGCACATGGGGCTGTGGGGATATTTTGATTTTGTGCTTCTGTAGCTGGGTGAGGTTTTTTGTCGTTCTTGTTGCTTATTTTTATTTTTTACTTTTTTCTTTTTTCCTTCCCCCCTCTTTTCTTTTTTATCCTATGTTCCTTTTTCCCTTCCCTCCCCTCTCTTCTTTTCCCCCTTTGGACATATTTATAGAAGTTAGTTGTATACGTGCAAAAAAGAATGAGAATTAGCCCGTGTGTTTTACGGGGCTGGCAGGAGAAGCCTTACAAACTCACTCATAGAGAATCCAGCCAAACCACCAGCACATGAGCAGGTTCCAACAGCCTCACGGCTTCCTTCCATTAAGGTCCCTCCCTCCGCACCCCTCCGCCTGCCCCCATGAATATTCTCAAAAGCCCTCCACTTTACCCCTGTCCTCCAGGTTTAAAATAATTCCCACTTTGACCTCCTGGCTAATTTTTCACCTATTGACATTTCTTTCCTTCCTCCATCCTCGCTAATGTACTCCTTCTTTTGCCCTTTCTTTTTCTTTCTTCCCGCCCTCCCATTCCGTCTGCTAGTTTCAATACAGTACAGTCCTGGAGGGACATTGACAAAAGCGTGACATCGCTAAAAACAAGTTTTAGTGGACATAGTTGGTGTATGGTTGGATATGTTCATGTTGTCCTAACTGGTAGGAATCGCTTCCTTTGGACAAGGTGACTGGGTCCAGTCCTATTAAACTGAGTAGATTGAAAAGGTAGATGATGCCAAGATGGAAACGAAGCCAAGGGCACATCACAGGAAACAAGACACTAAAGAGATCTTCACAGTAGCAAAAAAGCCTTCCCGCTCTAACTGGCCCTCCGCCATCTACACACACACACACATACGCATACACCATGAAAAACACAAGGCCAAAAATGTCTCCAAACACTGTCAAAACTCCAAAGCAGATCCAAGGGGCACCCCTGGACCACACTCTTTATTACACACCACGCACACACTGGAAAAAACTGCAGGGACCACCATCCATGTGCCTATTATCGACATGATTATTCCTTCCCAGGTGTGGGCCAGTTCAGACAGAGCCACTTCCCCTCCGCAGCAGGTGTCCTCCTCCCCATGACCAGCTCAGGTCTTCTGCCAAAAGCCTAGGATTATACTGCTGAGAGTGTGGTTAGTCAAAATACATATACAGAGCTTACCTTAATGACACTTTCTGACCACGCATTGAAACCAAAGTAGTAGTTGCCAGTTTTTGACATTGTGAGCTATTCAGGGAGGGGCCTGACGCTGCACTTCCTAATGTCTGGTCCGGAAACAAACCCGAAGTTACAGGAAATGGACCCACAAAGATCGCAGCCCGTTAGGTTTCATTTTGGATACACCCAAGATTTATCAACACCGATTTCATGGCCTTGTTGTAGAGATAGAAGTGGGGCAGAAAGAACATTTGAAGCATTGCATCCATAATGAACTCTAAAAAGTTTTTTTAAAATTATGTTTAAACCCCAGCACTTTTGTACGTCACTGTCAGGGGCCCTGATTAACCGGAAGGTTTCCCTGACCTCTGGTGGTCAACAGTGGTGGTGAGAGGAAGCGAGGAAGCTCTGTGGGAAAATTATACGGCTGTGAGTGAGCAAGGGAGGGAAGCTGTTTCAGTCTCCTGCCCAGTACCTACTGCTTGAGAGTGTGACCTACACAGCAGGCGAAATGAACCTGAGGCCCACCCCGCTACTGCGGAGAGTTACTCTCCTGTTAGAAGGGGAGACACACTCCTGTGAATTTCACAAGCACCTGAGACCCTGAGAGGCTCATGTGCATTAATAAGCTTCTTTGAGAATGTAAGTACCAGGGGCTGGGGATTTAGCTCAGCGGCACAGCGCCTGCCTGGCAAGCGCAAGGTCGTGAGTTTGATTCCCGGTACCACAAAACAAAAATGTAAATACCAATACATTGTAAACTCTAAATATTTTATAAATTACTATGGATGTCTTACGTCGCTGGTTCTTTTTTGAATGTCTATGCCATTTTATAAAAGGGTGTCATATATACATATATAATAAAATTTGGACAGTGTAAAGTCAAATAATTTTTTATTAGTTTATATATTTTCTTCCTCTACCCTAGTTTATCAGCTCCTTAGTCTCCCCAGAGACCAATATCTTATACTTTTCTCATTAGGAAAAACAAGCACAGTTCTTGGCATCTAATAGAGGATTGATGGTCTGATGATTGAGTGAAAGAATGAGTAGATTAAAAATGAAATTATTTTCTTTAATGAAGGCACCTGTTGGGAAAGGGAAATGAAGGTTGATTTTTAAATATCCAGTGCTTCTGGGTGTGGTGGCACATGCCTGTAATCCCAGCATTTGGGAGGCTGAGGCAGGAGGATTGCCGCAAGTTCGAGGTCAGCCTGGGCTACATAGAGTTCAAGGTCAGCTTGAACTACATAGTAAGACCCTCTCTCCAAAAGAAAAAAAATCCAGTGGTACAGAGTTGCTGGCAAGTCACAGCGGAGCTTTTCTAGACGAACAGAAGCTTCAGATGGCTCTTGGTCGTGCAGGGTCACCACCTGGAGAATCTTGCTGCTGGAGTACCCCTGGCTGCTCAGAGCCCTTCTGGACTCTGCTTGAGGGACTCTGCTTGTGTCCTGCCTGACTGGACATGAGGGACACTAGGTCAAGCCTCTGCTCAGTACAGGGTTCCCCAGCTCTCCAAACACGCCTGCGCAGAGAAGTTCTGTGAGTAGAGCCTGGTTTCCTCTGTCCCACCCAGCGACCCTGGCCAAACCTGGAGAGTACACAAGGCCAACATGTTCTGAGTGATGCTAGTAATCACTGCACCAGTAGTGACGTTGATCTGGAAGATGGTGTGATCAGAGCTGCCATCTGCGTTTTCTTAAATGTGGAGCTCGTACTCTACAAAAGCCGGGCACAGTGTCTACAATGGAGGAGAGCGGTTCAGGAATTAGGGAGGACACAGCTAGTGAGAAGGGAGATGGGAGAAAGGAAGAAAGGCAACCAGAAGAAAGGAGCAGAGCGCAGCAGGAGAGATGGGGCTTGTGGGCTAGAGACACCCGTGGGCTTCTGTTCACATCCTTCCACCCTGCATCCGTCAGGGTTCTACTGGAGAAACAGATATAACACGAGATGTACAAATGTAAAAGAAATTACAAGATTGGCTTACGACGGTCAGCCAGAGAGTTGTATGGGGAAGCGTGCAGAGGGTGTCTGCACACTGAAGACCGAAGGAATCAGTCCAGGGTCTGGAGTTCACTGCAGAGTTCTGTGCAAGTCTGTACCAGGAGGCCGATGAGTCTGCGACGGAAGGCTGAAGGATCCAAGGTGGAAGCCTAAGAGTCTGCACTAGAAGCCAGGAGACAGTCCAAGCTGAAGGTGAAGACTGGAGCTCCTCCAAAAGGAATGGAAGTTCCTCTGTCCTTCTTCATTTCCCTTTTATATCATCTAGGTGATGATCCACCCTAGGGTGTAGAATTGCTGGGCCAATTGCTGAGCCAAGTTAGGTTATGCTTCTAAACTTCTCAAGTTGACATAATCAATCAACCACTACACACCCATTCACCCATCCATCAGTACAGGGTCCTTTCACCCATTCCTGCTTTCTGCACTTATAAGCACCTACTGTGTGCCAGGAAGCAAAGTCCACAGTGGACATTCATCTGGACCAAACGCGGACGCTGCCTTCAAGGCGCCTACCACAGAAGAAGAAAGAGATATACGTAAAAATAAATAAATAAATAAAATAAAGCAAGACATAAGGAGAAAGTGTTACAAGACATCTGTACACAGATTCCAGGCAAAAGGGAGAGATTCCCTCAATGCAGGGAGAGGAAGTCTTTGCCCATCAACGGATGATTAAAGCAAGTATGGCATTTATACACATCGGAGTGCTAAATAAGGATAAAGAGTAACTTGTAGGAAAATGGATGCACCTTGAGACCATAACGTATGAAATAAATCAGACACACAAGCTTGCATATTGGATGGTTTCTCTTATGTGAGAAACCTGAAGTATAAATAAAGAGCAAAATAAAAGACAGACAGTAGGACATAGCAAGACAGATCCTTAACATGTGGGAAGAGACCCAAAAGACAGACAAAGGTGGGAGGGAGGAGCGTGGTCTTAGTTGTTTTTTCTTGTTGCTGAGACACAATACCCAACACTCAAAGTCAAAGGAGGAAAGGTTTAGTTAGCTCACAGTCTGTAGAGGTTTCAGTCCACAGGAGGCTGTCTCCAAGGCAGAGGGAATGGCAGGGGCATCACAGAGGAGAAACGGCTCATGGCAGGCGGCAGGCAGCAAGGCAGCCGGCAGCGAAGCAGCAGACGCAGCAAGGCAGAGCCTCTTCCTTTCACCCCTTCCAGGCTACAAGCCTTTTGGGTGGTGCGACCCACACCCAGGGTGAGCACCCCATTATCCACACCCAGAACTATGTTTAATCAACCAGTGGACTAATTTAGTGATCACGCACCCTTAACCCCAGCATCACATCCTTGATCCCTGTAGCACACAGGTCCAGCCACGTCTGAAAAGCCCCACTATGAGCACATGAGGCTTTGGTGGGCACATCTAGATACAAGCCAGAACAGGAATGAAATTAGATTTTTTTTTATGTTTTGTTTTGTTTTTGTTTTTGTTTTTTTCTTCTGGTACCAGGAATCGAACTCATGACCTTGCACTTGCCAGGCAAGCATTTTTGCCACCAAGCTAAATCCCCAGTCCCTAGATCTTTTTTTAAAAAGGGAATTGTGATGTGTTGTGTACCTGTACCAAGTCCCTATGAGGAATATGATAATTTTATATGACACACATGTAAAAATAATAGGAAAAGGGGTCCAAGACATGGGGGGTGGGGGATGGAAGGGAGAGAGGGGAGGTTAAAAAAAAGAATGCAGATCATTATGAATGTAATCATTATGTACTACAAACATGTGCCAATAAAAATAAAATATATTTACAGATTAAAATAATCATATTCCAGTGCAATATCTGAGGCAGAAGGACTGCAAGTTTGTGTCCCACCTGGGGAACTTAGTAAGGCCCCATCTCAAAATAAAAAATGAACAGGCCTGGGATATAGCTCAATGTGCAGACCCTGGGCCTAGTGCCCAGTACTGAAAAAAAGTGTATGTAAAATTTTGTAATTAATTTTAAGAGATCTTTGTCTAAAAGCTAGTTTTCTCTTCAAATATTAAAAGGTATGTATGAAATAAAACAGAAAAAATACAAGTTAGAACTAATGGAATCAAATTTTTTATCAAGATAATTTTAAGAAATCTAAAAATTTTGCCTTAATTGTTGAAAATATAATTAAATTGTGTATTCATTTGTTTATTGATTTTGTGATCCCGGGGGAAGTCAAGATCTTGTGCATACTAAGCCAGTGGTCCACCACTAAGCCACATCCCCAGTTCTTATTTTTATTTTCAAATTAAAATTCATAATTCTAGTATTAAATGTCCATGTAATTGCCAGTGTAAAGCATTAGTGTTGTGGTGTGTCTGAGGGCTAGACATAGACACAATTTGAGTAGTGTGTGACGTGATTTATTTAGTGTTGGAAACTTTTCCTCAGTTTCCATTTACAACTGTGTATTACTTTGTATTACAGAACTATGAATATGAATAGAAAACCAGGAAAAAACTGTATCCTTAGTACCCCTACGAAGTGCTATTTCAGACGGGCGTGGCGGCGCACACCTGTAATCCCACGAGGCTAAAGCCTCACTCAGGAAGCTGAAGCAGGAGGATTGCTGTGAGTTTGAGGCCAGCCTGGGCTACACAGTGAGCTCACGGCCAGCCTGAATTACACAGCAAGACCTTGTCTCAGAAAAACCAAAAAGAAAAAGGTAGTTCATCATGCTTGAATCGATTGCTTTCAGTGCGAGAGGAAAGATATAATGAGCTCATTAATTTTACTTTCATCTAAATATTTTTCCTGCTCGCAGGGCCCCCATCAAACGTGAGATGTAGCTGTGTTTCCCCGTGCACATAGGATCAGATGCGGAGAAACATCTCCCTGTGGTGCAGGAGGGGTATCAGAGGGCACAAGGAGGCTTTGGGGGTGGGGGCGGGGGTGTTCACTGTCTTCCCTGTGATCGTAATTTCAGGTGTATACACACGCCAACATGATCAAAGCGCACGCTGTGAGTATGTGCTGTGCATTGTGTATCAGAACCTGCCTGGAATATCTTAAAATTACCATAGTGACACAGAATGTATTTTGTGGGAAGGGAGTTT